GGAGCACCATGGCCCTTCCACCAGTCCCTGGCCCCACAGTGCCTGGGGCAGGACAGAGCTGCTGGACAGCATGGGCCAGGGGAGATGGGAACAGGAATAAACAGTGAAAAATACATACTGGCTCCTGCCTTATAGTCTTCCTTTCATTCCCCTTCCTTCCTTCCTTCCACCCCACCACCACCACTCTCAGTGCATCCCCTTGCCCACCAAAACACCCCCAACAGCTCAGTGACCCCACCTATTTCCAGTACAGTCCTTTATTTGCCCTTACTCCCTACCCCACACCCCAGCTGCAGTGCAGGGTCCGTCACCACCACTTGCTCACTTCTTCTTCAGGAGCTCTGTCATCTCCGGCACAGCCTGTAAACACAAGTGTGGGGGTAGCACCTGCTCTCCCTCTGACCCCCAAACTCTCCATGTGCAGCACCCAACCCCCCAGTTGCACTCCCCACCCTCCCACCCCTCTTGCCCAGCACACCACTCCAGGGGCTGTGGGTCACCCCATAATTATTTAACAGCGCTACATTTCCATTAGGTGGAAATAATGCATTCGTACAAAATTTATTAAGGAAATTGTCTACACCGTGTTTCTTCAGAATGTGACTTCGTCTCTGGCTTATGGAAAGGCCCGCGCTCACTGCGCAGCCAGCGGGCATTAGTTCAGGAACAGCATTAAGTGCTGGCAGAGTTTCTGCCCACGCCTCTCCACAGAGCCGCTGCAAGCTCGTGCCAGTCACACGTATGGCTGTGCGCACAGGCGAGCCGCAGGCGCCTGGACAGGGGCTAGCGCGCAGCTCCGATTTCCCAGAGAGAACGGCAAGTTCCTCACGGGTGTCAGTAAGGCAGCACGCCCAGGCAAAACCAAGCAGCCCCACTGCAGTCTAAACACAGTGTCAACTCTGTACTTTCCTACTTCATGATGCTGAAAAAATACATGTAAGCACCTCTGTGCAGCTTTCCCTCAAAGCAGTTCCTATGCAGGAAACGAGAGTAGAGGCAGGCTGGCTGTGACAGCCCCAGCAACACAACAGCTTCTACTTGCAGGGGTTGAATTTTGAGACTAAAGATAATAATGAAATCACAATGGCAATTCTTTACCACAACAACCCAAAGCAAACACTCTCACCCAGTATCTTCACACGTACTAGATGATATTCTCTACGCTATCATGAGCTCTGCAAAACTGTTATCCCGCGCATGTCCGATTTTCGCCTCACCTGAAATAAGTCTGCCACCAGGCCGTAGTCTGCCACTTGGAAAATGGGAGCTTCTGGATCCTTGTTGATAGCAACAATGGTCTGCAAACAACAGCAAAGCACCATGAGTACAGATACTGATCAACCTCTAGGGCCAGAATCCCGTGCTGGGCTGCAGCAAGGAGACACGGATTGCATTCTCTCCGAGCCCCTAGAAGCAGAGGGTACGGATCACGGCATCTAACACTCTTCCTGTCCACCTCCAAAAAAAAAACCCTCCAAACCTCCCTGCTCCCTGCATACATCAGGGCTATCCTTCCCTGTTGACAAGAGTCTAGGGAAAAAAATTACTACGATAGATTATCTGCACACTTTCTGCCCCACCATTACCGAAGGAACGCGGAGGGAGCACATACAACAAGTACAACAGAGCCACGCCTGAAGGCCTCTGCACGTGCCGGAGCACATGCCCTTCAGTCTGTCCTGCAGCAGCAATACGCACACGATGGCAGTCCCAGCACAACAGTATAGAAAATGCCTCTTGGTTTCAACTCCTTCACACAGGTAAATCATCCTGTAACCGTCCACATCGACACCTGCAACAGGATGGGAGCATTCCAAGAAGGATGGAGGAGGGGGGCGGGGGAGATGACAGCTGACATAAGCCTTACACCAAGCAGGGGGCCTAAACCACAGCACGCCAACAGCACCTTTCCATCTGAACGCTGCCCAGGTGAACTCCAGCCGGAGGCACCAAGACTCCTCGGGACAGCTCTGCCCCAACAGCTCCTTAATACACTTACCTGCCATTCCCAGGCAGCCAGTTCATGTGTCTCTTCCTCCCTCCCCTGAAGGTACTTGTACCACCAAGTTAATGGCCTGGTAGCGTGTGCCTAGTGGCAGAAACTCACGCGCTTGCAAATCCTGTGGTTTCAGGCCCACAGAAATGTTTTTCCTTCACAGGCCATTTGTGTCCTGTGACTCGCTATAAAGAACCACCCCATCCTGTATGCAAGCAGGAAGTACCTACAGCAGAGCGCTGCTGCTGCCCCTCTTGCCAGCTCATAAGCAAAGACCTGAGAGTATTCCAGCAATACTTCCCCTGAAATATTTTTCCCCAAGTTTTATTGGTTTTACTTCAGTTAGCCCATGTGCAAATGCAAGCCTCCTCCAGTGTGGGAAGTGAGCTCCAGGCTGTGATACCCGAGGATATCCACTCAGTGAAGATGTTAACTGTGCTCAGTGGCCCTGCCATGCTTCCCAGAACGCTCACAGGGGCTACTGCCGAGGGCTGGCTGAAGCCACCGTAGTTGGTGACCCTTGGGGGCTGCCAGCTCTGTCCTCATCACAAAAACAATTAACCCCAGTTGCTTGCAAAACTGTCTGAAGCTTTAGTTTGGCAGCCTAGTCCTTCCTCTGTCCCCCTTAGCTGAAGTAGTAAGATCTGGTTCTCTGCCTCATTGCCAAATCAGATTTTCCACGGCAAGAAGCAAAAGCATCACCTGGCTTGCAACACAACTTTTTCAAGTTAAATGTCGGAGAAAGAAAAGATGCTGTAAGTACCTCATGAGGGAATTAAAAATAAGGAAAGAAAGCAAACGATGATTCTCCAGGTCTTTTCGAAAGCTGCATTTTCTACCTTGCTGTACAAGGACAAATCAATTATACATTTCACCGACTACTTTGGAAAACTTATCCTGAAGTGTACACAACCACAAGGCCAGATAATTCACAGTGCTGCGGGAAGACAGGGGACACTCCAGAGAGTTCACATGGCTGCGTAATTTTTTGTGTTGGTAAAAACTGGATCTTACCAGTAACTACACCACCTACACGCTTTGGCTAAAAGGAGAGCAGAACACCTTTCAAACACAAAGAAGTAAAACTGCAATTTACAATACGCACATTTGTTTACATTAGAAAACCTACGATATATGGGAGAAATAAACTGTTAAGTATGCATCACATATCAACAAATTTCATCTGTCCTTATTTCCTAATAAAAAAACATCTCAACACAGCAAGCACAGCATTGGAAATGCCAAAAAAGCAGAGGTTTTGTTGTGGCAGTACAGGACAATATCGCTGCTCGATAGTTTTATACCAAAGGAAATTCTGGCACTTAAAGTAATAGGTTCCCAGCACTGCTGGTAGTCTTAACTGAGATAAGGCAGGAGATAAATACTAACAGGGTCACAGGAAGGCTTAGGCAGCTTTAAATACACAGTTCTCAGTGCATGGGCTGATACTAATCCCACCCAGCCATCTTGTGCCTTGCCCAAAAGCACAGTCGGAGGCCAAACGCCTCAGAACAAAGACACTGTGAACACTGTGGCCCATCAGGTATTAGAAGAGTGCAGAGGTAGCATCACATGGATGCTGCGCTCGCTGACTCTGACACTGTCTCACTCTTCCTGTTGTCCCCTGCTGCTGCCCTGCGAGTAGAGGGGACCACGGTGACACTGTTCCACTAAGACCAGTGCTACCCTGCTACAGATACTATTACTCACACTTCTCAGTAGTGACCTTCATCTCCACCCATCGTTCATCCTTCACTTCTAGTTTGGATTGGGTTTTCTCTAGTGTTGACTAATGCTAACGTCACTTGTGTCCCTGACTGCCCACCCTCTTAGAAGACTGAGGCCCCAAAGAGGGTGCTATATCCCAAATCCATATATATATGCAAAAAGACCTCAATTGTAAGAAAGCACAGATCATCCTACCACCCAGGCTGGCTTGTGAGGACAATTACCAGCCACATACACTCACTAGTCTGTCTCATGAAGATCTGCTTGTAAAGTTTTGAAAACCTTTTCCCCAGTTTTAAAAGCTATTCGAAGTTCTGGGTTTGGTTTCTGCCTGAAAGCATAAGTTCCTTCCCTGGAAACAGAAAAATATGTATGTATATATCCTTGTTCTGAAATCTCTTGTGGGGAGGCAGGACAACCTCCATTTCTTGACATTTGGCATTTGATAGTAGGATTCGGCAGGTAATCCTGCTCCTCTTGCCAAACATGGCAAATTCCAGTGGACCAAACTGGCAATTCCAGATACTGATTAGTTGCTTTGGCAACCAATGAGTTAAACCTTTTAAAGTTTTACTGCCGTTTTATAATAGGTTTCCATTTGAATGGCTAAATGCAGGAATGTCAGACATCTTTTACTTTATGGAATAGTAAGTTCATAATTCAAACTGCACATTGTTATGCATGAATTAATATGTCATACTTTGAAATGAACACAAATGGAACTATTGTATAGAATTCAGGCATCTGTGTGTTTGCTTTTGTTTTAATAAGCAAAGTCAATAAGCTGCTTTTACTCACCACTTTTGGTTGTAGTGCAACGGTTTTTCACCACACGATCTTTGGTTGGCAAAGCTCAGAGTAGCATGTTTTAACCAAGCACACAAACAGGCAATTTTAACATTAAAAAAACCTGGAAAGCTGGCTGAAGTACTGATGTAAAAGCGAGGAAGTCAACTCATTTCCTTCCTCAAATCTCTCTTCTAGCA